TAACCTTTGATCTAGTGGCGATTAAAACTGATTGTAATTTATTTGACTTCCTCGCCTTTAACAACGAAGAATATTTTTTCACTAAAAGTTTAAATTTTAAGCCCCATTTGAGTAGTTTCTGTTTTTTATGAATCTTAATACGTTTTTAATTAGAACACTTCAAACGTCTAACACGAGTTTAATTAAAAGAATGGTTAAAAAAATGTAGAAATTTCTGAGTCTGATACTAGACGCAGGATATTTATTTAAATGTTACAATTTATTTATATCATTGAGCTCGTTTTTATTTTGCAATTTATATCATTGAGATCAATTCAGAACGTTTGCTATGTAAAAACTTTTGCTACTTAAAAGGCTGGAAACAACTCTAAAGAATAACTGTACCACTACATAACATTAATTAACTAGTGCTAACTAAAAAGCTGGAAACAACTCTTAAAAAATAACTGTACCACTATTTAATAGATTATTTATTCACTAGTGCCAGTTGAAAAGTTAAAAATGAATCTTAAGAATATCTATAACTCTATATAATATTTATTCATTAGTGCTAATTTAATTATTTATTCACTAGGGCTAGTTAGAAAGCTAGGAATAACTCTAAAAAATAACCGTATCATGATATAATATTTTTCCGCTAGTTAGTGCACGACTTTTAATATTAAGACACGTAAAAAAATTAAATCGTAGTAAATGCACTTCTTTCACATTTCTACCCTGTAATCGCTTAAAAAGTCATTTTCAAAAGGAACATTTCTGATGAGTTTTTCAGAATATAGTTCAAAGAGAAACTAACTGTTACTTTTTTACGATACATGTCAGTTTTTGTGCAATATAAGCTGTTGAATTATAACTTTGTAAATCCCTTAACTATAATTATTAATTTAAAATATGAACTTCATTACTAATTGCAATTTCTTTGCAAAGAACAGGAAAATTCTAAAAAAATTGGCGTTTGTGTACTTAACATTAGAAAAACAGCTGGGGCCAATTTCGCCCCTTTCGTTTTTTCATTACTCTGTAATTCACAAAATAACTTTCTGAAAGTATTGAGTATTACTGACTTTCCCTAATTTGATATGATTTAAGTGCCTATTTAATTATTCCGGTGTTAGTCTTATAGGAACATATATACATAAGTACCTCATTACTTAGTATGACTGGACTGGCCAAAGTGACCCCTATGGTATTTTAGTAGGTACCCCATAACCCCAAGTAAGTTTGGATATAAATTATTCCAGTTTCATTTAGAAAATAATAGCTTTACTCCATATTTTAATTATAACTTATAAAGAAAAGGAAATTCAATTATCTAAGAAACTGGTGTATAAGTATAATTGAAAAGCCAGTGTTCCTTCAAATCAAATATTTTCCTTAATCAAATTGATTAAAGTACTACCATAGAATTTAATGGTCATGTTTCCAAAATATTTCTTATTAAATCAATTATGGTTATACTTTAAGATATCGACTGTCTAATTGGTCTACACCCAAACAGAACGAGACTGCCCGTTTCAAACTTTCTAGGTAAACAAAATTTTTTAGTCTTTCTAGTGTTACGTGAGTTATTTAATAATTTCAATTATAAATATCCTATTATAATTAAATATAATTGGAATTACAGGATGGTCTTTCATAATTCATAATTCTTTATCACAATTCTTTTAAGAAAAATTTACCTAATTTTACTCACTAAAACAATTGTAAAAATGGATGATCAAATTTTATGAAACTTTCCTCGTTTTTGACGAAACTATTTCCTAGTACATGCTTCACGCAAACATTTCGTCAAAGTGACGAAGTAACCCTCGTCACTTCCGCGACGAAACGAATTTCGTCAGAAGAAAAATATACATTGCGTCAATTTTTCGACCGTCTAGTCTTTGTTTTAGTTTCGTCATTCTAGTTAACATGTACCCTCATGGTGATGAGATTGCAAGTTGAGGAAACGTTCTCGTCACATTTTTGTAATTTTGCTTTTCTTTTTACAAATCACATGCTTTCGTGACGAAATGATTTTCAAAATTATCGAAATACAGCTCAATCCTTGCCGAATCGTAAAAAAGTAAGCGTTTTATTTCTGAGAGTGAAGACTTGATCTAATGGAGTTCTATATTACGAAATTTTGTTAGTAATGATTCAAATAAATTCGATAACGTCAGAAGTTCCTTTATATTAATTAAGAATTAGAAAAATAATAAATACTGAATTGTACTTAATTAATCCAACGAACAATTCTTTTAAAAAATTTAAAAAAGAGGGCTTTAATTAAATTAAAGTCTAATATCATAAAATCAAAAAGTTTGGATATTTTTATGAAAATAAGTATGTTGATAATATACACATGCTCGAAACAAAACATTTAGTAAGACATACTTCCCCAACAACAATTTACCAATACCGGAAAAAGTTCGTATAAGAGAGAAAGAAGAACTTCCAGAGAATAATTCCTGCCTGCATAAACCTCAACGCCCAGGAGCTACGCAGGAATATAAAAATGGCGAGGACAAAATAAGAGGAACGGTGAAAAAATTCCCTTTAGTCAATAACTTTGATCTCCTTTTTTCGAAACCATCTGGTCAAGTTCCCTTGACTACAAGAAGCTCCTGGCCTTTTCGAAACTTTTTTTCACCTTTTCAGTTAGGTTCGAGGGTCACTGCGACCTCAAAAATAAAAAAAATAAGAAATGAATGAATAAAAAAAAAACGAAATCCGTTCCTATGCTTTAGCCGGAGAAGATATCAAGTATTGGAATTTCCGATTTCGGTAAAGGCATCATACTTTTCTTGCTATGTATTTCTGTTATATATCTCAGATTTCTATGTGTGTTTTTATTCTGCAGAGAAAGTATGGACTTATCAGATTTGTTTTCGATAGATGTGAAAGTTATTTTTTTATTTGCTTTGAAGTTGATGTGCTTAGCAATTAAATAGCCATTAGAAGCTTCCTTGGTAATAAATTTGTCAGACTCCTTTGGTGTTTCTAAGAAACTACCTAGTTCCATTAGGATTTCTCAGTTTAAAAATAAAGTGCCTGGCCAAATTATTCGACGCACAATAAGGTTCTATGTAAAATCTTAATTATCAGTTAATACTATACAGATGTATTGTTTTTACGCGGATGAAACCGGTTTGCACTTGTTTACGTTCGTGTATCAATTGGTTTACATTATAATCCAATACGTTAAAAATACAAAATATGAAATGAAGTAAAAATACAAATATGAAGTATATAAGAAATCTCCTGAATAAAAATCCATTACATGTATGTAAATATAAAAGAATTGCATATAAACTCTAGCAAAACATGTAATTATTAAAACACTACAGTGCGTCTAATAATTTGGTCTAACTATTATAATCTACTAATATAATACTTGATGTAACAAATATTCTATAGTTATAAAATATATCGTCTAATTTATCCAATCGTAGAATTTATATCATATATGGTTGAATTTAGCCAATTTATACACGAACGTAAGCAAGTGCAAACCGGTTTCGGTCGCGAAAAAACGATAAAAATGTATAGTATCACCTGGTAATTAAGATTTTACATAGAATCTTATAGTGCGTCTAATGATTTGGCCAGGTACAGTATAGGTACAAAAGTGTACTTAACAAGTTCTTACTTTGATAAATAAAATTGTGTCAAATAGTTTATTTTGAAAATGAAAAATATTGATTTTCTGCATTCTGCTGGTTTTATTTTTATAAGGACAGTTCTAAGTATTAAAAATGACGAATAATAGTAATTCTTACCATTTCCTCAGTTAGATGATCATAAGCGCAAAACTAAGGATCAACACGGAAAGTTGAAAGTACGTGATTAAAAATATTCTGCTAAAATTACTGTAACGTACAGTAATGAAATTTCAAGTAAAAAACCATAATTCCAGTCAATAAAACTAAAATACACAGAATGTAAACTATTCATTCGGTGATTTTTTCGTTCATATGGTTACGGCTTACTAAAAATTCCAGTTTTTAAAATTAAAGTTCGTATTTATTTATTACAGTTCTTACCTTATTTAACGCTAAATTGCTAGAAATATCGTCTCATATTAAATCAATCTATTTCGGCGAATTTGCGACTGATTTTTTTATTTACTATTTTACAGCTTTTAATTGGTGTTCCGTAGTCATTTTGCTGTGTTATCAAATTGTGATTTAATAGTTGGCGATATTTGTTGACTAACTGTAAACCTTCTGTTCAATTGGCACATTTTTGTGTGTAATATTTTTAAAGTGTATAGCAACTCAAAATTATGAATTAGTACGGCTTTATTAGTTCTTAGTTGGATTTTATATCCAAAACAAAAATACTTTATAAAATACTTTCAAAAATACTTACCAAAACAAAATATGATTTTCCAAAACATGATTTACTTACAGCATTTTTCTGGTTCACTGTAAAACAATTTGGTGCTTGGTTGACACAATTTTTAGTGTTGATGTAAATTAAATATTTTTGAATTGCACGTAGTCACATTTTTCTTTACGTTCTCACTGCTATAAATTTATGTGTTTATTAATCTTTTTGATGTGTATTAGTATTTATCTATGATTTAATTAATATGATATTATTATAAAAAAAATATTTAATAATCAATTAATATGTATCAATCTACGTGTTGCATTTACATTTTAACATGTTTTTTTTTATCTATCTCTAAAATTATTGCCCTTTCATAACAGTGTAAGTTCTACTCAATAAAAACTCTACCACATTTTAACAATAATGACCACGTCATCTTATGGGCATTCTCTTACAGGGGTGATTTTATTTTAATACCCAGATATATTTTATTATTTATCATTAAAAAAATTCTATATTTAATTTTTATTCCTTTAAAAGGAAAAGTTTTATTTTAAAATGTGTTACTTTCAAAACCAGCATTTATTTTTTATAACATTCAAATTTTATTTGAAATATTTCTGAAAGACATTTATATTAAATATTTGTGTAAAATATTAATATCGTTTTATTTTGTCCTTTAGGATTTACTTCAATTGGATTGCTACACATTTTAATATATTGGACAAATTATGTGAGGAAACTATATGGTGATAGATAAAGTAAAAGGTACGATTTTATTATATTTATTTTTAAAAATTTTATACTTTATACTTTTACTGCCTGTATTGAAATTTTTCTTGTTGTAAGAAAAAAAACATGGAATAAAACATAAGGCGGCACATAAAAATATTTGAAAAATGGTTATAATTGATAAAGTTACAGAAAGTGATGGTTTCTAGCTTCAGTAAATTGAGAAAATAATTTAAGCAATAGAAAGTTTCTTTTTCTCGTACAATATGTTTCACAAATTTAAACAACTAATAGTTAATAAATTTCGATAGTAATAAAAAACTTATTGCACGAAATACGTTATTATACTAAAAATCTTGACAATAATAAGAACTATGATTTCGTATTAATTCATTAATAATTAACTTATAATATTTATTAAAAATATTCTATGTATAATCAATATTTTATAAAATTCACAAATTGTGTACTATATATATTTTTTTAAAAAAAAATATTGTTGCGTTAATTCTTAACTCAAATAACCTTCTACTATTTTCTGAAATTGTAAATATGTATTTATACTTTTAAATTGCTTTTTATTTCAAAATGCTAAACAGATTTAACATCAGTTTTATTACCAATACAGTTACCTATATTATTTCATAATATTGGCAACTTTAAGAATGCATAAAATTTCATACCCGCATAAATTTTTAAAGACAACTCAATATTTAATAAAATAAACAAAATTCTCATTAAGTACAAACATTCAGAAAAATAAAATATATTAAGTTAGAAATAATTTTTAAAAATGATATGCATTTGTATAATTATACTTATTTCAAAACTCTTTACATTTAAAAAACATTACTGTTTGATGAAATAATTCGAGAGTTAAGCATTATTTTGAATCAAAGCAAATAAATAAATAAAAATACTTTTCAATTAACTTAAACTCAGGGGAAAAACTGCTTCCATTAAGAATACAGCAATTGGAACAAAGTTTTCATGCGCCCTCTGGTGGTAAAACCGAGAGAAATACAACGAAAATTAAAAACACATTATAAGGTATTGGAAAGACAATTATATGCAAATTCATCATGTTGACGTCATAAAAATGAATAGCTCCAAAATGATGAAAATCGCACTTTCCTTGAAACATCCGGGTCTTAATACTGCTCCATTGCAAACCGAACAAAAAGTGATGCGAAATACGTAAGCATAGTAGCAAACAAAAGGCCTCCCAATATTAAATACCTTAACCCTATAATAAAATGCAAATCTCGCTATTTCTTGGGAACGGGGTTGAAAACAATGGTTTTATATTCGGAATCGTTTATAAAAATTGCTCTCTTTTTTTTCGTTTTTCTTCAGACACTAACCGAAGCTAAGTATTTCATTGTATTCTTTATTCGCTCCAATCCCTCGCGCTATTAGAAGAAAATTTGTAGCAACGTTATTACATTTTACAGGTTTTATCGTTTCAAAAGTACTTGCAACCACATTATTTAAATGTTTTACAGAAAAGGATAAGTAGCTCGAAATATGTTTTAAAGCTGTTATTGGCTATTACAGCAGCATGTGGTTTTTAGAGCTAATGTTCAAATAGAATGTATTTTACTCATATTTTTCCTGGCATCACTGTTTCCATTAAAGGATTATTTACCTAAAATCATAAAATGTTTTAAAATCTTCTTGAATTCACTGGAGAATATGTTCGATCTTTATCTAATCAGAGCAGTAATGTTTAAGGAAGAAAAAAGTATTAAAATGTGATGTTAGACGTAGAAGTAAATCTGATTAAAAGCTGTATAATGGCTTTGGCTTTTTGTTATAAACCAGAATGCTTAGTTAAGCAAAAACATATTCGTGGATTTAGTTCGTTTTCATTCAATTATAGTGAAAACATAAGAAAAGAAAAATGCAAATAAAATATCAAACTTTTTAACCTATTAATGTCTATGGTCCTTTTTTGATAAAAGTTTGGAAATCCATCAAAAGTTAGAAGAAAAAAAAATTTATTTATTTTTTGATTCATGTTTTACGAAAAATATTCTTATACTACTATACTATATATATACTATAGTTTCCTTTTCAATAAAAATTTAAAATAATTCATCATAAGCTAAAAGACTATTTATTTCTTCTAACTATTATCAATGATTAATGAATTAAAATTACATTAATATTGAAGCGTCTTTTTACATATTTAAATCTGAATCTTTTATTTCTAATTTGTTTTTAATCAATAGAGTTGAAAGAAAACTTTTGGCTTTAAATATTACATATGTTTAGATTTTGTATTTTTTTTTTCAAATTTGCTTTGCGTTATAAGTTTTAATTATTCAAAATGTGCTGAACAAAAATTAGTAATTAAATAGTACTTATTGTGATTGCGGCATTTATTTTGCAACATTCAATATTAACAGAAACAATTTTAAGTAGTAGTTATTAAAGTATAATGCTAAAATGTTTTGACATCAAAGTGTTTTTATTTTTTCAAAATTTTTGAAATATACTTTTTTGAGAAGTTAGTTGAAGTTTCGAAGGTTTTGGGATAGTTTTAATGAAACAATCAAGGAGAAAATTGTCCCGAATATTAATGTTTATCTCTCCTTATTGTCATCGTTTTGAAAACAATCACATTGCTGCTTCATTATGTTTTCAATTAGCAGACAAATAAATTTTTGTCTGAGTTCAAAGTGCTGTACGTCAAAAATTAAGAAAGCGAATTTACAATTGTTATGTTCTTTTTAGATTAATATTACTTTTTTCATAGTCTTTTATTACAGTCTATAAGCGTTTTTTTACTCACAAAGATGTTTAAATTACTTTTATAGATACTGTGGAACAAAATCTTGTAAACTAAATACTAGATTATCTAAAAAGTATATTTCTTATTACTCCAAAATCAAAAAATGTGTATTTCATTACGAACATATTAGCTTACAGAAATTTTGAGTTCTTTTTTATAGCACATTGCAGGGAAACATTTATCTAAACTTTCGCGTAATGCTAGCTTACATAATAAATTTTGAAATAGTTGAATTTCTTTTGTATTTTTTAACCTACTACGTACGCTGTTCCTAAGAACTTCGTCTATAAACTATGAAAAGTACATACAAGCGAAGCAAAATTTTCATCATAACAAAACGTATGATAGAATTTGATAGAGCTTTTTGTAATAATAAAGTTCAAGCATCAATCGTAGATTTAACAAGACAGAACAATAGACTAAACTTTCATTTTTTTCTCGAACTAAAGAAAAAGGGAAGGAAATGTATTTTAAGTATTTTTTAAATAATGATGTTGCCAAATGGCATTGAGAAAAATTCAAATAAATAACATGAACTTAAATAACCTTACCATTCCATTTTCATGAAACTAGCTAGGTACTTCTTTTCCTTCAGAATACAAGAAATACAGTTAGAGAATAAGCAATGTCGTATGCAAGAAAATCCTGCTTTGGGAAGAAAATAAACTCGTTTTTTTTCTTCTGAATCATCTATTTTTTTTAAACAAAGGAAAACTTTTACTTTGTGTGAGTTCAAAACATTTTCTAAAATTCATATCTTACTATGGGTAACTTTATAAGGAGAAATATGAGGATTTGTTTTCTAGAATTTGTCCATCTAAAATGTAAAGAACAGCTTTATTATTATATTTTGAAGAAGTGTAAATACGGAGGAGAAAAACTATGCTCCGTTATAATTTTGAGAGTAGATAATTTAAAATGCGTCACAAATACTTTAGAGTTTTTTTTTTTCATTTTAATTTCCATCTGCGTAAAAATATATTGCCATAACTAATAGTTCCTTTGTAAAAAGTGAAAAATATAGCGTAAACACAAATGAACAGACTATGATGTATTTCATAATAGTCAAAAATGTACTTATAAAAAAAGTATGGTCAAAACTACATGAATTTGGCAAAATTAAAATCGTAACAAAAGAATGCACTTGTAATAGAATTATACTCTACTAAATACGATGCATTTATTTTTTTTCCATCGTAATATATACTGTGTATAATTACATAATAGAGTGCGTCGGAAATGTGTATAGCAGCAATTGCTTAAGCTGACGTTTTTTACACCTGGCTATTTCTGATCTTCTAAATCCACAATTCTAAATCCTTCACTAATTATCTAACTCTAATTTTTATTTAATAAAATAGATACTGAAATTCATTAAATTCGTTACATAAATATGCATTTGCTGCAGAATAAAATTCCACAAAACATGACACATTTATTTTCTTCCATCGTAATATATATTGTGAGTAACAAAGGAAATTGAGAGCATTGGAAATGTATTTTCCAGCCATTGCTTAAATTGGCTTTTTTATGCCTGCCTATTTCTGATCCTCCAAATCCACAATCGTATAGAGACTCGCCTCACTAATTTCCTAACTCTAATTCTTATTTAATAAAATAGATCCTGAAATTCATTAAATTCGTTACATAAATATGAAATTTGCTGTAGAATAAAACTCCACAAAATATGAAGCATTAATTTTCTTCCATCGTGATATATATTGTCTATAGCGAAGAAATAGAGAGCATTGTAAATGTGTATCGTAGAAATTACTTAAACTGACATTTTTTACACCTAGATATTTCTCATCTTCTAAATCCACAATCGTATAGAGACTCGCCTCACTAATTACCTAGCTCTAATTCTTATTTAATAAAATAAATCCTGAAATTCATTAAAGTCATGACATAAATATGTACTATCTGTAGAATAAAATTCCTCGAAATATGACACATTTACTTTCTTCCATAGTGATATATATTGTGAGTAACAAGGAAATTGAGAGCATTGGAAATGTGTATCGTAGAAATTGCTTAAAGTGACGTTTTTTACGCCTGGCTATTTCTCATCTTCCAAATCCACAATCGTAAAGAGACTCGCCTCACTAATTACCTAACTCTAATTCTTATTTAATAAAATAGATCCTGAAATTCATTAAATTCGTGACATAAATATGCATTTGCTGTAGAATAAAATTCCACGAAATATGACACATTTACTTTCTTCCATAGTGATATA